AGATTAAATGGAAAGTCACGAAATCTTGAGAAAAGGAGAATGAATTCGTAAAAAGTAAATGAGCAGAATTCCTGGACTAAGTAATATTACTGGAATAGGTGGATAAAACACGATTCTTAAGAGGCTTGCATATGAGACTCGATTAAGTGGAAAGTAAAAAAGGAGAAAAGGCGCGGCGAGTAAGGCAAGAACCTTTGGGAATATAGAATAGATCTAGGGCCTCGAATAAGAGATAAGGATAACAGAAAGTAGCAGCGAAAAGATTAGGAAGTGAAGTCAGATAGGATGAAGGTATTATATTAAATGAGTATACTTTTATGCGTTCGCGATGAAAGACGCTTGAGGGTGGTGGTAGTGAGAAAGATTTAAATAACAAAGGGAAAAAGAGATGAAAGAAATAGCGGGAAATCAGCGGAGATAGCAAGCAACAATGAAAATATGAATAAACGTTATAAGCACATCTTTGATCGAGCTTAATAATATGGAAAAATAGGCGGTACATCCTGACCAACAAGGGTGTTGCTTTGGGCTAGTGCTATATTGATGAGCTTCACATATAGGCCTAATATTTTACCGAAAAAGGCAAAGTGCGAGACCCGAGGTTAGATGGGGAGCGAATAAAAGGCAAATAGCAATGAACTATCTTGTTTAAGATGAAAACACAGACAAGAGAGAGGGCCTGAGGTGTGGAGAGCCAAACTCTGACGTAGCTACCAAAAAGGCATCGAAAATTTAGCAGTGGCACACAAAGTCGTTATACAGTAGTGTAGGTAAGTGTGATAAGGTATTTGGATCGAGCAAGCGCGCGCAGAAACATGGTATAAACTAGAAGAAGCCCTAATAAGACAATATTTTCTGTAAACTTGTAGACGGTGGCACCTACCGATTAATTCCTATGAAAGTCAACACCTGGATTGGCAACTCCATAGCTCGATGCCTGAGAGCAAACGACTCCAAAGCGACACCTACTTCTACCACATCCAGGAAATGCATAAAAAATAGATAGCGATAAGTATGCAAGGTTGAGCATTTACCGGAAAGATGAATAGGCAGGAAGGAGGTTGTGAACTAAAGGAGTGGGGATAGTTAGAACGAGGGAAAAACACATGGAAGAACTTGATCAGGGCGGTTGAACCGTAAGAGAGACAGACGCAGTTGGCGGGGAGGTCGGCTGCGTCTTACACGGCGGAGTCTGGCTAGATGCAAAAGTTAGATAGGAAGTAGACTCAGCGACAGCTGCTTGTGCTGCCGGAGCGTGCAACCGATTCCAGTCAGATCCAGGCAATTGATAGGCAGCTGAAGAAATAGGAGCATCTAGACCGATCACTCCAGGTCGGTCCATCTTAGAAGAGTTTATTTCCACTCCAGACAAACCAGAGAATGGAGTTTCGTCTAGTCTAGTGGCATGCTTTCCTTCCGGCTCTATTGCCGAAGGAGGGGCCAGGTAATGTGAATTAGATAGACCAGCCAGCTGTTGCTGCTGCTGCTGCTGAGACAAATTTGTCTGGGCCAGGGAGAGCTGCTGAGATTGCGGACCACGAGCTTGGGTATATGTGGAGTCGCAAGATGGTACTGAAACTTCAGATGCAGAAGCCAATGATTGATCGCTGCGCATATGGATGTTGGCGACTGTGATGGGGTGTTGGTCAGCATGAGCATGTGTCTGCAAGGCATTCGAGGCTGCATATTGAAGTGAATAAGGAGAAAAATAGACCAAAATGAGAAAAAAGACATAAGTAAGTGTCATCAATAGCTTTGTTAGATATGAAGACTTGCGAAGTAACAAAGCACTTCTGAGGTAAGGATAAACATGCTCATTTAAAAAGAAAAAAAGTCATATAGATCTAAAAAACCAAATTCTAGAACATATAAATATGTAAAGTAGTCTATAGGCTTTATGATAATTTTTGATCTTGTAGAATCCGACGATTCAACATCCTATCAAATAGTATTGTCCTATTTAAATCTATTTATTGTGAATATCAAATGTGATGCCTGTGAGTATATGAGAGCTATCTAGGCTAATGTACTCAGGC